TGGTTAATTAATAAAATTTAATGACGAAAAAATATATCTTAAATATAGGATTTAATGAGAGAATATACCTTAGATATGAGACTTAATGAGAGGGAATAGGAAAATAATTTTATTTCCAATTGGTTTTAAATTTTATATTCTATTTCCATCATTAATAAAAGTATTTCTTATTTATCATACTTATTCTTGTCTAATATGATGAAATATATGATATTAAAGATATTCCCAAATTTTTCTTTAATTTCTATATTTTTTGCATTTTATCAAGTTTTAATCTTTTTTATTATTTATCTGTGGCAACAATGCCACATGGCTTGGCCTATTTGACCCAAAATTGTTTAATTTCTTACTACTACATAAAAATACTGCTTTTCCAAGTCAATTTCAAAAGTACAACTTTTATGTTATTAGAATTATTTATGTATGGATTTAATTAGTGGAATTTAGTAATTAAAAGAAACAAAAATGCCTTAAATGTATGGTTAAATGAGGGTGAATGAGAGTTAATACCTTATATGAAATTTAATAAGAGGGAATTGAATGCAATGAATAGTAGAATTTAAATTACGTTTTCTGCCCTCATAGATAGGGACCCTATTTCAAAAAAGGGGTATTTTAGTCCAAAAAATTTTAGAAATCTTAGACTATATTCATACTTTTTATAATAGTATAAAATATAATATAATATAATATAATAATATAAGATAAGATGGTGATGATGGTATTTGAGATGAGATATCAGTAAATTCAAGCAAAATAGCCCTGCAGTTGGCGATGATGGTATGATAGCATTAATTCATCAAGGAATCACAGCAGTGTGATCCAACGTGAGAAACACTCTTTTGCACGTCTCCTTCAATAACACAAATGATGATAACCCCAACTCAAGAGCTATCTAGAAGCTTTACCCCCCACCCCACCCCACCACCACTTCATCCGCTATCAACGGTACAATTTTAATGGAGCATTTTCCCCGAGGCTTAGTTTGGAAAGAGGACAAATACAAATAAGTACATACAAAATACAAAGTTTTGCACTCTACATATTTGTATATGTACTCTTTCCAAACTGAGCCAAAGGAAATAGGTTTATTATTAATGTGGATGGGCAAAACTGTTCTTAGGAAATAGGATAGAACTAACTACCTCTTGCTAAATTTTACAGTATGAAAGGAAATAAGAGAAACAGAGAGTTGGAGAAAAGTTCTTATGGCTCCATTTGGAAGGAGTACAAATACAAATGTATAGAGCGCAAAACCTTGTATTTTGTATGTATTTATACTGTGCATATTTGTATTTATACTCCTTCCAAAGTGAGCCTATGGAATTTCACAAATTTTTATAAGAACTTTCCCCCAACTTTCTGTTTCTCTCTTGTTTCTGCCAAACCAAGCATATAGATTTCTTTCTGTGTTTTCTCATATCCTTTTCTTCTTGGTCTTCCCACATCCCATTTACATTCTGTAAAGATGGGTTGTGTCAGGTTCAAGGTCCACTAGTATTCATCAACAACAAGCAGATGTCCAGAACAGAGTAGGCTAATTATTAACTACTTTTGTAAGTCATGGTATCCCTAACCAACAGTAAATGAGCTAAAGAAAAGCAGGACAGTGGGGAATCGAGTCAAAGAATGCCACTTATATTCATTATTATCCCTAACCAATAGTAAAAGAAAAGACACTGCTTTGATGTGCACTGTTGTCATATATCAGAACAGAACAGTTCTGTAATGCATACATTGTCTATGGTTAGTTAGTGACCTAGTATGGAAATTTATAGTTAAGCCTCTTATACTGGATGTAATGAAAGAAAGTTACTGGTGTAATTATCCAATTGTCCTCCTTCTGAATGAGTACTGAAAACATGATTAGCAATTCCAAGAAGAACAACAATAGATGCCCATTACTAAATGCTTGGTCATCCAATTGACAATATGAATTTGGACAATTTACTATGAGCATCTTAGTGTGAATCCTGTACTAAAATTCCAATGGGAATTTGTCTGCTAAACCAGTCAAGATGCAAAGCTCTATCCTTGAAAGGGCAATTTTTTCCAAGAATGGATGCCATTGTCTTAATTATTATGTGGCGATAGGTAGTTTGGATGTATTGATAAGAATATGCAACCATATATATATATGTATATACCCTTTTCAATTTTAGGCCCCGTTTGGTTCACAGGAATAGGGGTTTGGAATCGAAATCGGAATGGGCTATTCTGATTCCAACTGTTTGGTTGGGCAGAATCGGAATCTCATTCCCATTCCTGCTGGAATGGCATTCCCTGCCCCTCCCTTGGGAATGAAATCCCATTCCTGCTGATTCCAATTCCCATTCCCATTCCATTCTGAACCAAACAAACTATGGGAATAGACCATTCCAATTCCAATTCCGACTGCAAACCAAATGGACCCTCAGATGTCATAACTCTGTTACTTTGCTCTATGCTTTTTCATCAACCAGTGAAATGCCCACCACTCCTCGGATAGAAAGCGTAGAAGGCATTCCATTCTTAGGTATAAGAGATTCTTTTGTGGTATTCAATCAACATAACATCAAGTTGAAGAGTTGGGGGCAAATTGAAAAGTACTTGGATAGAAGTAGTAAGAAATGATTTATGTGACCATAATTTGTCGATTAATGTGGCACTAAACAGAGCGAATGGCGAAAACAAGATACAATCCTCACAGACTTGACCAACTTTTGTAGCCTGAAATAGTAAAATATGTATGTTTGCTTATACACAAAGCCTACCTTGCTCCTTTTTATTTGTGAGAGAAGTTGGTTGGCTAGACTATGACAAGTCAGTAAGGACAAGATATAAAATTCCTATCTAGCCAACCAACTTGGTGGGAATAAAGCACTTGGGTAATTTGAGGAACTCCTTTGGGTGGACATTCTCTTTTCTATTTTATGCAAAACTTGGTAGGAATGTAATGCTCTAAAATGGAAGAGACTTTATAATAAATCTGTAAATAGCAATTGATTAACCACCATGAAAGCAAAGGAATCGACAGGGTAACCAAAACAAATGCAGTTGATAGTAGATACCAAGGTCTAAAATTAACAGAAAAGAAAATTGGTTTAACACTGGATGGGGGAGTAGTAGACGAGTAGTCCCCCACCAAACCTCCCTCAAACCTGGTGAAGGCTGGATAAAATTCCAAGTCTCAGCTACAACCACCCAGAGACTTTTCTGGCAAGCTTCAGCTCATTCATATGATAGATAAACCATGATTGATGGAGCTCACCAGTGCATCACTCATCCAAAATTCTGAAACTGAATAATCTTATCCTCTCTCAGATCAATTACTTGGGCTATGTTTAGTTTGAAGGAGAAAATAGGGAAAACCTATACAAGATTTGTAAACGTTTTCTTACTTTTCCTTTCCTTTCCCCACCTTTTCCTTCAAACCAAACATAACCTTGGCTTCTGATTCTAACGAGATTGGTGTTGTGAGGGGAATCATCAAAATGCACACGCGCGTAGGACTTGCACACAAAAATCTAAAGTTATTGGGTTATGGGACTCTCTTCATACACTACTGACTACTCATATGTAAATCCCAACAATTGGTCCACCCAGAAAATAGCCCAGTAGTTGAGCAGGCCGGGTTCATTACAAGCCAAATACAGTATTCTATGAATTGTTAGAGAAGACGCTCGAACTTTGCCAAATTATCCATCCAGTTAAAGTTTTGGCTCCTTCCACAAGCACTACACTGAAGAATACATAATCATCAAATTTGACTATCAACTTGAGAGAAGTTTTCAAGCCTCAATCATATGTTACTTTTTTTTTTTTTTTTTCTGGATTTATTGTCCATGCCAAACAGTACGGAGTGTTTTCTTTCTTGTCGCAGCACAAAATTCAGAGGGTCATTAGCAAGTCTGTCAACTGGTCAGATCTCGACCAGCTCTGGGTTGACCCTACCCAAAACCGACAACAAAAACATACGGACCTGAGACCTCATCGCATTCCCAACCCTATTGCTAATCGGGTTTCAATGGGTCGGACCATATGACCCGATTATAACTAACAAACTTTTAGCCGGTTAATCAGTTTGGGTCTTAATTGGACTGGGACATGTAAAATCAATCCCCACCTCTCTATTACAATGAAAACCCGTTGACCCGGAATTACCTAGAAAGGCTGTGTTTGATTGCAGTGCAAATTTATTTTAATTGATGTAAAATTATAGTATTGCAAATTCTGATTTATTTTTATTTCAAATTTTATCTTATTTTGTTTGATTGTAATACAAATAAAATAAAATAAGATTACCTAAAGCAGAATATAATAAAACCCAAAACAAAATTAAATTAAAATTGCATTTTTTTTTCATTTGCACTCCCATGCATCTATACGAGTGCAAACAAAACAGGAGAAAAGGCTGAAACCAAAATAAATCGCCCAGATTATTTGCATTCTCATACTTTTGCATCAGTACAAATGAAATTTCAATGCAAAACAACAAGCCTTGAGATAAAAAGGGTTGACTACCAGAAAGATGAACATAAGTGATTGGCAGGAGAAAGTGATTTGGGCAAATCCCCTTCTTTCAACTGTGCACACCCCAATAACGAAAGTACAAAAGTGACCCTATATATAACTTACTACCATTATTTAGCTGTTGTGTTTTGACCTGACCAGATGTGTCCAATCAGACTAAAGAGTTAAAAAAGAGCTACAACCTACAATCAAACTCAAAATAAATAGGGTATAAGAACGTAAAGAGGACAAAAAAGACATTATAATTTAGCATTTGTTTGTTCTTTCACATCTAGCGGGTCAATTAGTCAACCAAAAGTCAACTGGGTAGGAATTAAAAAGTGACAAAACAAGAAGGGAACAATTAAAGGGTAATTTGGACATGTAAAAAAATTGAGGGTTAGATGTCGTATTTATGGCAGTAAGTAGGGGTTTTTTTCCTTTAAGTAAAAAAAGAAAGAGGAAGCTCCCTTCTCTCTTCTTTTTGCAGTCGAGTTGGAACAGAGAGGTACAGTTTGTGAATGAATAATCAAAAATAATAATTGAAGGAGGAGAAAGAGAGAGGCGGTACAGACTACAGACAGCAAAGTCAACAGGAAAGAAGTCTGCCCTTGTGGCAGCTTTTTTATTTTTTTCTCTTCTGCACTGGCGAGGAACACAACAAAACGGTTACAAATTCGGAAAAATAAACACCAACACCAGCGATTCCTCTCATACTTGTATTAGTTTATTATCTCTTTCGTATTCGTCTTCCCAGAGTAGAAAGTTTTTACATGTTGATTCTCGCTTTCCCTCTTTTCTTTTTCTTTTATTTTCAATTATTGTTTATATTACTTGTGCGATCGAAGAACAAGAAGAACTTCAACAGCATGGATAGCCCAAGTCCTCTCTGCCCTTGCACTCGCTTTCGATTCTGAAACAAGGAGATTGGTGCCAGATCGGTAAGAGAAATTCCGAGGTACCCAAGTCGCTTATTTCTTTATTTTTTTTCCTTTAATTCTGTGTTTTGGGGTGGTCCATGTGGGGTTTTGCGCTTGTTTTTATTGGTGGGTTATTGTTTTCATGATGGGATTTCTGGTTTTGATGATGCAGTTTATGAAATTCTGGTCGAAATCGTTGTTTTTCTCAGTGGGTTCTGCCTAAAATTTCCATTTGAGAATATAAGAATAGATAGATGTTGAGAATTTGGTGGAAGAAGTAGAGGTGGTGCAGGTTTATATGGATAGGTTGTGCTGCTTTTATGATGCCTATTCTGAGGTCAGTAGAATTACCCCTTTTATTATCTCTGTGATTCTTAGCTATTTCTGTAGTAATTACCTTGCTTGGTAGTCTCTGAAAAAGCATGAAAGCCATTTAAATTTGGGGTGCCCTCAAACACTGCCGTGTAGAATTGATTGGAAAAGTAGTAGCTGCAGATAGTTTTTGTGTTCGCATTTCAACTTATTTTCTGGTTCGATGCTCTGAGCTAAGTTGTTATTTTGCCGCTGGTTATTGAGGGGAAATGTTCATTCAGAAATTGCTTCGGTTGTTTGTTTTCTTTTGTTGGGAAACTCCTGATTTTAGGGGGCATGGTTAACTTCTTTTCTATCCCTATAATTTGGGTCTCCTCTAATGGATTTTTTTTTTTTATTGCGTTCAGCAGTTTTCTGGTTTCAGTAATTGGCATCCTAGCAGACTTCTGAGCTGATTAATGTGTCAAACTGAAACCAAGACTATATCTTAGCTAGAATTTCCTATTACCTTTGCTTTGGTTTAATTTTAGTTTCTGCTTTTTTTATCACGTAGAGAATCAGTTTCTACATGATTTATATTGGCCTCTTGCCCATATGAAAAGTTCTGGAAATTGCTCCTCTTGTTTTCCTTAAATAATCTTAAGAAAATAAGCATCTCTATGTATAGTTTCTAGTTCTTATTAGTTTAATGTTAGTAGTTTACCAAAAACAAAAGAGTTTAACGTTAGTATTGTATCTTTAGCTTGTAGGAGTGCGTTCCTCATGTGGCTCCGGTAAGGGGAGAAGCCATCGAGGTCCAATCAAGTATGGATTCAGCCTCGTGAAAGGTAAAGCAAATCATCCCATGGAGGATTATCATGTTGCCAAGTTTGTCCAGGTTAAGGGTCGTGAACTTGGATTATTTGCTATTTATGATGGCCATTTGGGAGATAGTGTGCCTGCATATTTACAGAAGCATTTGTTTGCCAATATTCTAAAGGAGGTGTGTTGTTTATTTGAGATGAAAGTATTATGATTTTATGCTTGAGACTTTAGCTATTTAACTTTAATTATGATACTTACCTGAAAAGGTGCAGTCTAATGCCATTTGTTTCATCATTCCAGGAAGAATTTTGGACTGACCCCAGTAGATCCATTTCAAAAGCCTATGAGAGGACTGACGAAGCAATTCTTTCCCACAGTCCCGATCTGGGACGAGGTGGATCAACCGCAGTTACTGCAATACTTATAAATGGTCAGAAGTTATGGATAGCCAATGTTGGAGATTCACGGGCAGTTCTTTCAAGAGGGGGACAGGCAATACAGATGAGTACTGATCATGAGCCTAACACTGAACGAGGAAGCATAGAGGATCGAGGTGGATTTGTCTCAAACATGCCAGGTTACCCAAGTTAACCTTTGCTTTATTCCTAAAATTTGCCTTTGTGCAAAGATTTCTTCTAAATGGGTTAATTTATTTCAAATGCAATAGTCTATAATTCTATATCAAATGTGGATGTCAAGCTAGTATTCAAAAAGAAAAAAAATAATAATTTATCTATCTTTAAGCATAGGTATCCAACTAACGAGGTATTCTTTATGTAAAAATGACTGCTTATGGAAACACCTCAAGTTTCTTAATATTTGAGAATGTTTTAGAAATTTCTGCCTGTGATCCATTAATTATGCATTTGTCATTATGTTTTATGGCAGTTCCTGTTGAGTTTCATTGTACACAACTCTCCTATCTTATTGATAACCTTTAGTCTTAGTTCTTATTTTCCTCAGTGATATAATGGTATTTCAGTTCCAAAATCCCTTTGTTGTGTGCTGCAAAATATTCCTTTTCCAAGAAATTTGTCAAATTAAAATTTGAAATTTCATGTGTATGTGTATGTCTGTAAATTACTAGACTAAAGTGATCTAGCAGGAAGTCAATATAACCCATGGATCATTGCTAAAGGAGTGTTCTTAGAAGTTTTTTTGTCAGACTAAAAGTGAATTAGAATATTATATATCATTAATAAATTAAATTAAAATGACCAAATATTATATTTTATTGATAAAATGAATTAGAGGCTACTTAGATATTATATATTATTAATAAAATGAATAAAAATAACTTCGATGAGACTTGAACTTATAAGCCATTAATGAAAGCATGACATTTAAACAAAACCCTTTTATCAATAAATATATGTTTTTTATAGATATATGCATATATATTATTAATATTATTTTGACAAAAGGTAAAATATAATATATTTTCATTATGCCAAAAAACTCATGTACAACAGAAGAATGTACATTGGGACATATACAAAAAAATTGCTTTGAATATCACTGCTTTACATGAAAAGAAAATCTTAATTAGGGATGGCAATTTTCCCCATTTCCCCGATCCTCGCGGGGACCTGTTCCGAATGAGGAGGGGATGGGGAAACTTTCATCCCCATTGGCATGGATGGGGAGAGCACTCCCTGCCCCACGGGGACCTCGATCCCCGCTAATATATATGTATATATGTACGCATACGTCTATGTATGTATGTATGTATATTAATATTTTTAAAAATATGGTTAAATATGTTTGAATATATTTGAATATTTTTCAATAGGATTGTAATTTTTAATTATTTTGTTTTAAATTTTTTAAATAAAATAAAAACAAAAACAAAATAGTTGACATTATAAAAAATCACGGGGAGTGGGAATCCCCGTGGGGATGGGGATGGGGATAACCTTGTCCCCACTGGTGGGGACGGGGATGGGGATTTTTATGGGGACGGAGATGGGGAGTGGCTCCCCATCGCCGCCCTGCCCTGTTGCCATTCCTAATCTGAATCAGGAAAATTTCTGTAAGATCTCCCTTTAAATTCATCAAACCTACCTGCCCAAGATAGCAACATTCTTATGATCTTGTTAGTGAGTAACACATCTTCCATAACATTATTTACAAAAATATGAGCATTCCTTTCACCCCTACTCAAGTTCCCCAAACGCCATGCATCCAGAGGCTCCTTAACAGACCCTGACAGGCACATTTGAGAGCCAAACAGCCAAACATCCTTGACCAAATATGGAATGCAAATTTACAGTGGATAAATATATTATTGGCAGAACCCAGGCAGCTGTCAAAAAAAAAAAAAAAAACACTGATTGGAGTATCAACTTCTATGCGTCTTTTTAGCAGGTTTTCAGAAGTGAGACATTTGTTCTGAATTACCACCGAATAGAGAAAATAGGTCTTGGAAGGCACTTTTGAACACCACACTTTAGCTCCTAGGTCCTAGGAAGGTGTTGTCACCGTCCAGGGATTATTTCTGATAAAAGGATACCACATAAAATTTCTTTGAGGGATTCCATCCCAAATCCTCCTGTCAGTCTGATTTCTGTTTATTTTTGCATGTTTAAGATCAGCATTAGCTCCAAAACAGAATCCATTTTCCAGTCATTTAGGCTTCTCCTAAAACAGGGTCCCACACAACCAAGCGATCCACCTCTTAGTAGCTTTATTTCATTGACGTTTCTTTGTTTAGAGATAAATCAAATAAAACAGGAAATGCTTCTTTCAGCGGTGTCCCTAGACACCATTTATCCCTCCAGAAACTATATCTCCATTCTCTACCTCATAACTGATACCTTCTTTAAATATTTGGTATGATTTTTCAATCCCTTTCCAAAGTGAACATCTGAGAAAGATGTTTGCCTTTGCCCATCCCAAATCCCAACTCCTATTCCCGGAACCATACTTAGTGTCATCAATCACCCTCCCCCACAGGCTGCTGTCCTCCCCCATAACTCCAAAACCACTTCCCTAAGAGAGCCAAATTAGCTTTACTAGACTCCTTAGCCCAAGACCCCCCTCGGAGAGCAAACTATTTTCCACTCAACTGTGTGAAATTTGAACTCTCTCCACCCCTTCCACAGAAATTTATGTTTTTTTTTTCTCATTCTTTTGCAATGTTAACTGGGATTGGGAAAAGAGATTACATTTAGGTTGGCAGGCATGATAGCACAAATACTAGTTCCCAAATTGCTTTTGAGCAGCATGCAACCCCAAATACTTGGTTGACAAGCTCCCCACCTTACATTTTTTTTGATGAATGCTCCCCACCTTACATTACTAATATTGCTGGGCTCAGATCTTAATTGGATTTGGCTGGATCCAGATTTGATCCAATTATAAATGGATCTGATTTTTGAAATCCAAATCCGGTTTAATTAAATTGAATTTCAAACTCAGACTTGGATAATCGAATACCATCAACGGCCCTAGACCTTGATGGCGAAGGCTTGAAGGAATGAGGTGTTTGTAGGGACTGGGCAAGTCAGCATAACAGCAGACTGAAAGGTGGAAGGTGTTATGGACGCACGCAATCATAGGCAGCAGCACGCACCATCCGGCAGCAGCACTAGAGAGGGGCCCACACGACAGCTCAGCAGGGTGGGCCCACACTTATCTTGCCACAACAGCCCTGCTCGCCAACTCGCCGCCAGCTGCATTATCCCTCATCCCTTATCCTTATCTTATCTTATCTTCTTAATAAGAGTTCTGTTTGCCACCAAAAGTAGGAGTTGTGTTACCATTAGAAGTAGGTAATTTATTTAGAAGTAGGAGTTGAGTTTGATATGGATTACCCTAGCCTAGCCGAATCCAACAAGGAAT